GACAGAGTTAATTTCCAGATAGAGTTAAACAGATTGCTGGAAATTTAGGGGCGACGTGAAAAGTAAGCTGGGAGAAAATGCGTTGGGAAAAAAAAAAAAAAAAAAGTGACAATAATTGGGAAATTGTGCTGCACATCACACCTTTCTTTTGATTAGCGAGTAATTGGTTTTGCATAAAGTGTTCATAGTGTTTGCCTGAAGTGTGTGTACAAACCAAGGCCCAGTCCTTTGATGGCTCACTGGAAGGGCAATTTGGATATTTTTGTTGTTGCTAAAATCCTCCTGACTGTATGTATGTACCAGCCATGTACCTTCTGCCAGGAAGAAACATTTGCCACTTGGAGCACAAGGGGAAAATCAGTGAAAAATACGATAATGCTTGAAATTGTCACAGAAAGATTTGCTTTGTCCATTCAAAAATCAAATCTGTACCTGGCTTTGTGAATAGTTCTGTTCATGTCTCAGGTATCTCAAATTTTCTTTTTTTTAGAAATTTTTATCTATTTGCATACAATGGAGTTACTTGCAACAGAATCCCTGTGTGACTAAACAGTTCCGTGAGGCTGCCCCGGTACATCCTGTGAGAAAGATGACAGGGCAAGACTCCTGGGTGAACGTGTAGAAAGCTCTTTGATAAATGACCTGAATTTGTGGGTGGCCAGCAATAAAACCTGGCAGATTTACATTCCTCTGAGCACTCAAGAAGTCACCAGGGAACATGTCCAGTTTAAAGCATTTCAAAATTCATACGCCAGACCCCAAATCGTTGCAGAGCTCATGTAAAGTAATGATGAGGGAAAAAAAGTGGTGATCCTTTTCTTTCTGATCCCTTAAACTCTATGTAGCCACATTTTATTTTTTTATTTTTTCACCCCCCACAGGAGCTGACCACCTGCAGTTTGTTGTTGAGGTTTATGTCTCCTGCATTAACACCCATTTACAGCAGCGGAGGATTTAAAACCATGAGTGCTCATGGTAAAACTAATGAAAAAGTATCATTATTTAGTCACCTCCAGAAATTCGGAGAAGAGATTATCTGCTGTTTTGAAGACATAAACTCCAGATAAACCAGTTTTAGCAGTGGGGCTTATGCTAGTCAATGAGACATTCATGCTTTTCTCCTTTGCCTAAAACTTGCTGTATAATCCTCAGCTCCCTTCTGGCTACCAACCAGTAGCAGGAGATGTCACTGGAGTAATTTGACCTAGACAGGTACAAATATTTCTGTACTAATATTATCACCAGCTTTTCAGCTGAAATTTCCCAGATCTAAATCCAAACCCATCCCAACTGTAAAAAAAAAAAAGAAATGGATTTCATTTGTGGCCCGGTTTTCACTACATGAGCTGACTTTATGCAGGAGACTGGATCGAAGGCGAAAGCCCCGCTGGAAATCTCGTGGGCTGTCACCCTGCTTTTGGTGGCTGGTCATTGAAAGGCTTTAACTGGTGCGAGAGGGCTTTGGGGCTCTTCCAGGAGCCTGCGCATTTCAAAGCTATTTTTGGGGTAACATTCCCTGCTCCACACTGGTCCCTGCGCCACAGCTTCCTCCACTCACTCTCAGGTCTCTCTTCTAGCATCTGTCTCCATCGGCGTGGGAACACTCGCCTGCCTCCGTGTTTCCACACGCATTACCACCAACACACACTTGAGGGCCACAGATCTTAAGTTTAGCAGCTCCTGCCTTTATCAGATTTATTCCCTTGGAGAGGGAGTGAGATTGCTCCCTGTCCCTCTGTAGCATTAATTTTCAAACGCAAGGCAGGGTGATTAATAATCTATTCTGCTGGCAGCTTTACTTAGTTTATTCCTGTTTCAGGTATTAGTTTCTTCAGCAGTTTCATCACCTGCAGGTTTGATGTGACCACACGCCAGACGCTGACCCTAGTGTGGCACAGCAGAGTCTCCACGTGGCCCTGAGCCACCAGCAGAGCTTGGCATGGGAGGTGAGGTTAAATAAATCTGAGTTCCATGCAATTGGCCATCCCGAAACTAAGCAATCATCTGTGATCCATCCCAAAGGGTGAAAACAACACAGCTATTTCCGTCTACCTGTGCAGCTGCAATTAATTTAAGGAGCTTCAGGACGTAAAACAAGCCGTAGGGAAGCAGCCTACACCTTGGATGTCACCGCGCTGCAGACAAAGAGGAGCCGGAGAAGAATCTGCTTTTCCTAAAACCCAATCGTTGAGTAATTTATACTTAACACGGGAACCAAGCACTGCTGCTTTGATCATCAGTACCTGCTCTGGAGAGAAGCAGCTCAGGTCTGCTCGCTACGTGCTGCATTGTGGCACGTTACTCATTTACTGGAGGAGCTGCGAGGTCAGATTTTGAGGTGCTTATTCAGACAGGTTACATGAAAAGCGTCTCCCTAGTAAGAACAGAGGTTTGGGGTTTGGTTTATCACAAAAAGGAATATTGTCAAACCACCTGAAATTAATTAAAGTAAGGCTTTAGGGTCATGATTTTAGATATTTTCGTGGTTTAGACCAAACTCAGCAAAAGTTGCTAAAGCCAAACAGCCCAGGAACAGTTCCTCTGCAACCACCGACAATGCGGGCTGTGCCTGGCAGAGGGACTGCATGTAAATCTGCCTTACCAGTCTGACCAAGGATGCTCTCCGTCCCCAGTACTAGCTCTGTCGTCTAATACCGTTTTAAACCATGTAACCTAGTATAACGTTGTGCTGTTAAGAAGCAGCAGACAGACAACGAAAGAAAGAAATGACTGCCGTTCCCTGTAAGAACATTTTTGTGGCAGATATTTTCTGTATTTCTGTTTCGCTCTTTTTTTTTTTTTTTTCAGAGTATTTATGTACATGGAAGAGGATCTCTGTTTTCAGAGAGATCATCTGTTCCTGCCGCTTCTACCCTATTAGGTGTCATGATCCTGGTTGCTGTGGAAATGATTAAGTTGTCATCAACAGGAGTCACATGAGGGATAAGCTCTGGGAGAAGATGATACAACATTCCTTCTTTTATGCAAATATGTGCAGTTAAGAATGGCAAACAAACAAACAAGCAAAATATAGAGGCAAGCACCCTTCCCCCTCCAAAATCACTATTCAGACAGAGCAGACTGCTTTGAATAAGCACATTTTGTTTCCAGGGGGTGTCAGATGATGTCTAGAAAATGTCATCCCCTGTCATGGAAGTGGCAGAAGGGAGCTAGAGGTCAGTCCCTTCTGTTCGAAAGGGTACAGAGTCCAAAAGAGATGCCAAACTCCCTTTTGTCCCGTGCTTTGAGGAGGCTGGGGCAGGTGCAATGTGTCGCAGAAGTAAATAAGAGTAGCACATTTTCCAGGAGTGCGAATAGATACGCAACACGCAGGGCACCACAGAGCGGTGTCCTCTGCCCCTAAGTAGCTGCCCAGGGTTGTGTTAAGCACAGCAAGTCACAGTGGGAGGAGTAACGCTCCCAGATATTAGGTGAGGTTATGCTGACTCAGAAAAAATGAAATGCCTCCCAGAAGTATCTTTGGATTTAATTAATAAGTGTTTAGAGTTGACGCCAATTCTCCAAAGAGCGACTCTGGCGTTAACCATCAACTGATTGCATCTGGAATTGCATGGGGGGATCTTTCGGTATTTGGTGAATATACATGTGAAGTGGGTCATCTAGACTGTATATTTGTAGCTGTAATTAGAAAGACAAACTGTATGGGAAAAGAAAGTCAACAGTGGTCTTGATAATTAGTTTAATTCTGCTGTGCACGTTGGCTGTGTTATTTGAATTCTGCAATGCCACTGTCTCCGTGGTGGGTGTAAATGCCTCACAGTAAGTCAAACAGTTACTATGACTTTCCAAAGTCTTGGCAGCACTCATGTCTCTAACGTAGTCTATGTTCAGGAAACTGGGAAAATGCTCCAGTGGGATCAAACCAGGATTGTTTTCTTATTAGAACACTCTCCTGAAGATTTGGAGTCCCGCAGAATCCGCTGGTACTGGTGATCTGAAGCTCTAAGCAGTCTGCTCTTTAACTGCAGCTGAAATTACAGACAAGGCATAACGAGCAGTTGAGAAGTGAGTAAGCTGCTCTCTTAGTCAAACACTGATAGGAAGTTATAAGGCATCAGGAAAGATTAAGGATGAGAACAGGAAAATCTTTCTGGATTTTTTTTTTTTTTTCCGTTTACTACTGATGCTTCATGGAACGTGTTGAGTTTCCACTCAAGAAATATGTGCTGCTTTTTTGTTCTTTCTGGTGACAGCTTCTCAGCGAGGGCACAGCCTGAGTCATGTTTTGACTCAGGGACTTTGTGATCTTTGGATGAGGCTGCAAACCAGCACAGAGCATTCACTCTGTGAGTCTTTTCTTGTTACCTGGCTTTTGATGTCATTTGGTGCCATTATGAGGAACTTTGGGTCCCAGGTTTTCAATAGCCACCTACATCTTACTTTGTTCCCCCACTGGAAGCTTTTTTTTCAGACATCTCCACAGCAACTTTTTTTAAGTGCCAGAGTGTTGTCTTGCGGGGTAGAAATAAGCATGTGCACAAAGAAGAACTGATGACACTAAACGTCACACTAGATTATTCCTTACATTTCTAAACAATAGCACAAAACATCATAATGTCTAATTTACTGTCTCTCTCCAGAGTTAAAGGGCACAGACTGCATCAGTGTTTTAGAATACTCTTAACTTTTCCAAACCCCCTCACCCTCACAGGCATGCAAATATGTACAAGAGCAGTGAAAGATAGATGAAAGAAAATATCCAAGCTCGGGAGGGATCTCAATCCCATAACCCAGTAGAGCACCTTGGATTCTGGTGTCAGCTCCTGAGTGTTTTTCTCAGCAAAGCTTCTCTGCACAGCCTGGTGGAGGTGAAATCTTGTCCATTTATATAAATAAGCAATTTGTATACACACAACTCATACAGACAAGCCTTGTCTCTGTCCAGCTCTGGGGCCCCCAGGACACGGACCTGCTCAAGTAGGTCCAGAGGAGGCCACAAAGATGCTCAGGGGCTGGAGCACCCCCCTGTGAGGACAGGCTGAGAGAGTTGGGGGGTTCAGCTGGAGAAGAGAAGGCTGCGGGGAGACCTTAGAGCGGCCCCCCAGGGCTGAAAGGGGCTGCGGGAAAGGGGGGAGAGGCTCTGGATCAGGGGGTGTGGGGACAGGATGAGGGGTAACGGCTTTAAACTGACAGAGGGGAGTTTCAAATTAGATATGAGGAAGATATTCCTCCCTGTGCGGGGGGTGAGGCCCTGGCACAGGCTGCCCAGAGAAGCTGTGGCTGCCCCCTCCCTGGCAGGGCTCAAGGCCAGGTTGGACGGGGCTTTGGGCAACCTGGGCTGGGGGAAGGTGGCCCTGGCCGGGGCAGGGGGGTTGGGACTAGATGGCCTTTATGGTCCCTTCCAACCCAAACCGTTCTGTGATTCTATGGTATTAGCCAGTTACCAGGCGTGTCTGACTGCAGCCCTAAGAAATGTGTTGTCATTCAATAGCGAGATAAAGCAAACTTCCCTCTTTGTTTTTGACAGTCTGAAAATAGATTTAATCTTAGATTTAGTCAAAAATGCCAGGCACTATCTGCCACCTTATTTTATGCTGTACAATCTCTTCTCTTGCAAGTTTTACAGCTATGTAATTCCACTGACTTCGGGGGAATTCTTTCTTATTTACAGCAAGCGTAAAAGAGGCAACAAGGTCATTCGCGGTGATACCTGGAAAAGGCAAAAAAGTATGAGGTGGGCTTCTCCTCAGGAACTCGTCATGTTTTTTTTCCATTAGAAACATCACAGGGATTTCTTACACTGCCTCATTGTTCTCATTGCCTTTTAAATGCCACACTGCAGTTCTTGGTTTAGTAATGAGACACACAGTGCTTCCTCTGACATCCCGGAGAGCAAGGAGTTAGCACCGGCATGCCAATTACGGTTAACAAGGAGAAGCTGGGTCTGTTGGCAAGGCTACAAAGTGCCTCATGTTTTAATGACAACGGCTGTCAAACACTGCACAGATACGCCTCAAAAATTAATATGTTAGTAGTTAGCACAAGAGGTCCTTGTCCACGACTAGGAGATGCAGTTACAGAAATAATGCAAATATTGATAGTAATTAATCATGGGAACCTCTATGCAGTTTCCCCTTTCCCTTGTATCCTTATTTCTGAAGGATTTTTTTAATTTTTTTTTTTTTCCCCCCACAATGTAATTTCTTATAAAGATCAGTGGCTTCTGCGATAAGTTTTTGCACTTGGAAATTTTATCTTTGTCATCCTTTCATCTAGTGTTTTAGACCTTGGGGGTATCAAGTTGCCTTATGTAATGCGTGCTTCGTGTGCTTTAGGAACTTTTTAGCAGATGAGTTCAGAAGCAAAAGTTCACAAATTAGCAGGGAGAAAGGTCACAACTGTGTTGTCATCTGAGAGACGGAAGGACACATAAATCAGTTTTGATGAAGTAACTAAAGTGGGGTGCTTTGAGGAGCTGTAGACCTCTCATGTTCTCCTCCTACATTAATCCTGGGTAATGTAGGAGCAATTTTGTTGCAAGGAGTAAGAGAAAAACTCTGCTGCCACCTCCTTCCATGGAGTGTCTATGGCCATTCCTCATTTAATCATCTGTCAACACCCTGCCAGATGGCAAAGGGAAGGACTGTTCTTCACCTGCAGGAGAGCTGTGCCTCGACAAGCGCTCATCTTATCTCAGAGACTGCGTGTTCCCAAGGAGAAAAAACAGCAAGTGTCAAATCCTCTGCATCTACTGGCTAAGTCCCCAGGCCTGCGTAAGCATGTTTCTGGTCAGCTGACAGATTCTCAGTCCTCAGCATCCCTGTTCAGAGGGTTAAGTGTGCTTCAGTTGTCGGGATTATCCACAACCAGTCCAGCACCTCTGCTGCCTGCTTTTTGCATTTTAGGCGAGGCTCGATGCATTGCCTTTAATTCATACAGTAAACTATCACATAAAAATCAGTCTTCTGAATCTAATGTCTTCCTAGTAGATTGCTTTCCTTGCATCTCAACATACTTAACTCCTAGTAAAGAGTTTAGGCCTCCTTGGAGGACTCCGTGATATTCGGCATTTTCTGAGCATGATTAGAGACACAGATCTTACAGGGAGAATCTACTCTGTACCGGAGCTGTTTTGTCAGACGTGATTCATACCCTGAAATGAGAGGCTTAATCAGGTTTCCCATTCTGAGAAACCAATTGAAGAGATAAAGGGCTCAACTGTTTTCACTTCCTACAGTCTTGTATTTCTGTGCATTCTCCTTCGTGTGAGTTCCCATTACCGTGCACCAGAGCCGAGCCTAGCATGCTGTAAATGTGCCTGAGGGGGGTCACGTCCCAACTCTGGTAGAACCCTGTGGGCAAGGAGCTGACAGAACTCGACCCTTTCTCTCTTCTCTCCCTTCCCCTCCCTTGCAGAAAAAATACCCATTGAAATCCATGTCTGGCAGAGAACTGGTGTTACCCCTGGACTACCAAGACATCGTCAAGGGAGATGAATCGCTAAAATATAGCCTGAAGGCAGACAGGGGCTTTGACAAGCTGTAAAGTTGTTCAACAACTTGGTTGGGACTGAAAGACCTTTGGCAACACAGCACTGGGGACTGACAGCAAACGCTGCCGTGTGTCACCCTGTTTTGACCATTTTTGCCAGGTGAGGAAAGCAATGTCTTGAGTGAAGGACGGGGAACCTTAGTGGTGTGCGAGGCAAGCAGAGATGTCTAAGAGCTGCAGTCAGAGGTCAGTGATCATCCTCCAGAACTGTGGAGCAGGTCCTACTACTCTGAGCTTTGAAAGCGTTCTTGTTTGGTTGGTTGGTTTTCATTTGAAGAGAATCTTAGAAGACATAATATTTATCATTGTGGCTCTATGTCCATTTAAAGCACCAGCAGAGATGGGTCAATTACATCAATCTCCCTCAAAGTGTGGAGCTTACAAGACAGGTAAAAATTATCCAAGGATTTTTAATCAGAACAAAGTAAATCCCCTTCCTTCAATTTCTTCATTCAAGCAGCCCTTTTCTTTCCTGTGTGACTTAGTTTTACCCTGTGCTGATGTACTATTTGTCTGTATCTCATCTCAATAAGGTTACTTTGCTGTTCTCTAAGTATAAGTATATCTTGCAAAGAAAAATTTATCCTGAGATTTAGTATTTTCAAGATTGAATCATCAAACCATAGCTTTCGTGTGTTCAGTGTAGCATCCTAGCCCCATCAGTGTTATGAATACTTCATTCCAGGAAGCTCAAACAGAAAATAAATTATTCAGACTGAAAGTCAAAGAAGAGTAAGTTTCAAGAGTTGCCAGAATTTGATTATTTGTTGATGCCTTTATAGAGGCAGCATTCTGAGGGACAGAGTTTTCACGCAAATACTGTCTCTGGAGTGCTGGAGGCTTTAATAGCCCACCTTATTCCAGGTGAAAATCAATATATTTTGTTTGTGGTTTTCTGGTTTCTGTAGACAGTCATGAAAAATAAATAGAAAGACTGATACAAAAGAAAAAGGAAAGAAAAAATACAGAGGATCTCAGCACAGGGAAAATGTATGAATTTTAAAACGAAGCTCCAGATGCGTGTTTGTTGATTGAGTAGGGAATATCTCAAGAGAGCCAAGAATTCATTGATTATGTGCAGATCCAGAAAGCCCTTTGAAGTTAAAAAGGGGGGAAAAAAAAGAGAGAGAGAGAGAGAAAAAAGATATTAAAATATACCTTTCCCTTGGGTATTTCCACCTGTGTTTTGTCGGCTTCATTTTAGGCTGACTTCCCACAGCTGATAGTGCTGAGATGAATATCAAGAGATTGCTTAGCAAACCCCTTGCCCTAGGTTCAGCTGAGGTCAGTGGATCTGGTGTTCTTACGATATGTTTTGTTGTCAACATCTGAATCTGATGCTGAATTTTTTTGGCCGTTCGTAATCTACAAACAAAATCTGCTGCAGGAGCAGTGGGAAGGGGGGTGTATGGGTCTGCGGACTGGCAAATATACACAACAGCTTTATTCTGCTGAGGGGATATTTACGTGGCTGTGATGAAACAGCTCATGACCAGCTCCCAATTGATTCCACTCTCCTATTCCTCAGGTGCCTGCAGGACACAGTGGGATTCTGGAGTCAAGTGGAACAATTATGGTGGCTTCTCTCTTTTCACCTCATTGATGCTTTCAGAGATTCATCAGGAACCAGAGAGATCCCTGGTGACCATGGGAAAGCAGAAAAAAAACTCCAGAGGTCCTTAAAAAAAAATCATTCAAATCTGGATTTGGTTTCCCTGTCTGAATCCTCTGTGCAAGCTCCTAGTTTCCTCTGGTGTGTTCACCTTCAAATGACTGTCTTGATGCAAGTAAAAGAACAATATATAACTTGTCAGGTAATCTAACAGAGCAGAACACGAGCATCGGCTGCGGCAGGTCGAGCTTTAAGAGACTGTGCTGAGCCTTTGTATGTTAATATAGAGATAACGGGGTTAGCCAAGTTGTGTTCATTTTCCTTAATGTGTGAAGTCAACACTGGGATTAAGTGATACTACAAAGCCTCAAAGGCTGAGATTTCTGCGAGGAGACTGAAGCATCAAACTCCTGTTGAGTTTTAGTTGGCTACAGGGACCTAAGTTACTTAACAATCTCAGTCCTAAAGTATTACCCTTCCTCTTCTCGTGTTTTACTTGAGGGAGAATGGATGGAGGCTTCTTACAAAGAAATAGTTGGTTTTAATTTTAAGCAGATCTAAACCAAAGATAGGAACAAGTCGGTTTTGAAAGGGTTTGAAAAATTACACAGAAAGGCTGTTAGGATGAGTTTCTTATTACAGAGAAACGGTGATGTTTTGTGTTATTTCAGTGACTTTTCCATGATAATTGCCAACGTGTAGCTTTTTAATTGAAATAATTTCTAGGATTCAGATTGGTTAATGTACCATTAAAGAAAATTATTTGCACAGAGATCAGTAAATATATTTTTATCTCTTTGGAGTCATTTGGGAATGTACTTGACTTAGACCGATTGTTGACCTAGTTACCCATTTTCAACGGTGATAGCTTTGTTACCTTATTCCCAACAAGATGATTTTGAATGTCAGAGAAGTTTTCCAGTCGTTTACCTTCCACTGTCATTGAGACCCGTGCCTTTTCTTAGGTACTCGTTTGCTAAACAGTGTAGATGGTAAATACCACCTTTACAGTGAGCCTAAATACATGGGATGGTGAAATCTGCTTCACACATTTTGATTGGTGAATGACCGCAAAAAACCACTACGTGCTCCTTCTCCCCTGAGTCGTATACCCTGGTGTCCTTCTGGAAGGCGATCTAGGGGCTTGCCATTCTTTTCACATTTAGTCAAGACCTCCGTTCTGATTTATCTGTTAGGTGGGTACATTAAGGATGCATCAATGGAAGGAAGCAGACAAGCCATAGTAAATTCAGGATGGCACGCGCGCGTTCAGCTGAACCTGAGGTTTAGTTGATTGTAAATGAAAGCACATTTTCCCCAAGTGCACATGGTGATGAAGAGATTTTCCTCTAGAAGCAGACTTCTATCATATTTTCAACTCTGCCTGATGGATGAGCAGGGATAAGTCACAGTTATATCTGTAGGACCCAGTTTGTGCAGGCAAAATCTGAGATAATAATGCTGTTCTCATCCAGAAGACATTCTGAGTAAAAAAAAAAACAAAACCCAACAAAACCAACAACAAAAACCAACACCAAAACCAACCAAACAATCTAAATATTAGTTGTTATTCATTAATATACCATTTTTTCTTCCCTATTTTTTGATTGGACGCTTTATCATACACCCACACATTAAAGTTATCTATTGGTGTGCTAATTTATTTGCAAAAAATCTTTGCAAGAATAAGCATCATATTATTAGAGATGCTGATTAGTGGAGTAATATTTTACAATGAATAGTTTTGTCCTTTTGACCTAATTTATGTTTTAACTCAAGGCTATGGGTAGCTGCAGTTAAAAAAGTGAAAAGGAAACTAGATTACACTGTTTTATTTTTTAATGTGACTGATAAAATATACAGCTAGAGATCAAGGGTAAAGCCTTCATTATCTTCAGGGATACAGAAATCTGATAGGAAGAATGTAAAGGTAATTTTCAGCCTTAAACGTGCGGGGTTTTTTTTTTATTCTGATGTGTCACTTGACATATGTCAAAATAACGTAACCACAGCGGAACTTAAAATCTGTGAGCCACTGAGGGGTTTGCTACAGCAATAACTGCTTTCTTTTTGTGGATAATTATAATGAGCGACAGCAATAATTTTTAGCTGAGTGACCAATCGTCAGAAGAGCTCCATCATGACCATCATTTGGGGTGTTGTTGGATTGGTGAGATTCCATTCAAAATAATACAGTGTCGTTACCATTTAATAATAAAGTGTAATTATTGATTACTCCAGTGAGTATGCAGGGCAGCAAAACCCTGAAGGAAATGCTGAAGAGAAAAAGGATCTTCTGAGCTCATCTTCTGTTTAACAGAAAGATTGCTTAGAACAAGAATGCAACAAACCACAGGCTCCTGGATCGAGGCCAGCGCTGAACAGAATAAAATCCCCGTTGAAACCCCAGATGCAGGGCTCAACCATAATCATTGCCCCTTTAAAACCAGATCCACCAAAAAAGTCCTTGGCTGGAGCTGCTCACGCATGGGACTGGGAAGCGGTTGAGTTCTGTGGGGCCTCGAGGTCAGCGTATCTACCAGATCCTCCCTCCTGAGCTCTGAGGAAGGCTTTGCATTCCACCAAGCGTGCCCAGAAAAGCATCGTCTGAAGAAATGCCCCCGAAACGGTTTCTCAAGAGGTTTACCTGTCAAATGTGGAGAAAGAGAAATTTGGGGCAATGTGCTTAAAGCCTTCAACAGCCCGCAAAGGTGATATAAATAAAATATAAAACATGAATTAACAATATTTTAAGAAATTAATCGGAAATCGGGATAAAGAGCGGCCATAAGCACATCACTTCCCAGACTGAGCAAACAGATGAAGTGATCTGTAAAACAGAAAGTGGAAAGGGGATAAACTCGCTACTCTTCAGGATTCTTCCTAATCAATGGAGATTCATTACAGCTGCCTCGAAACAAGGCTGAGTTTACACAAGTGATTTATTTACTCTGCTCCTGAGGACATCTGCAATTAGGGCTTAGGGCAATATATTGCATTTATTAGTGTGTTTTTTAAGAAAGATGTCTTCTGCCACATGGCACGACCGACGACAAGCACAAATATTAAAGTAGCGTTGATGAGAGCGTAGCATTAATGCAGCAGCTGTGATCGATCTTCTCCCATCTTATTTACGTTGTTTACGAACCTGCCGGTACCATTTGGGCTGGTTCTTCCAGGTGAAATGTGGTGTGGAGGGGAAACTGCTGCGGTTAGGTGAAATAATTATTGGGGAGGAGATAAAAGGTCAGTAGAGCTCTGTCCCTGGAACTAGAGACCTGCTGCTAGGAGGTTGTTGTGAGGAGGTGACTGTTGTTTTAGAAGGTGCTTGGGACATTTTTTTAATGATGTTTAAGCAGGAGACTGGAGGTGTTTATTAAGTACAGAGAATCATCAGGAAGGGGCTGAGTGTCTGGGCCTGTTTCTTTCCTTTGAAGAGAACACTCTGCTGAAGAGTCTGAAAGAAGAGAGCTGCATGCTTTCAAGAAAGTCTGGGAGCTTCCATTTTACTTACTGTGAAGATGCAGGTAAGTTTTCTGTCTGTGACTTTTTTTTTTATGCTAAGATGTTGTGGTCTCTCTCTCCTTACGTAATGCTTTTTCTTTTCTCACTGGAGTTTTGCCTGACAGCAGAGCAGAGACTGTGCCAGGCCCTCCAGCCATGGACTGCTGCTGTAGGGAAAATAGATACGGCAGTAGTTGTTGTCCTGTGAGCTATCCTTTGGTTTCTTAGGAAGTTTTGCTTCTGTTGGAAAACATATTTGGGCAGGCTGCTGTGGGGAGCAGGGGCTGCTTGAGTAGGTGGAGATTATGGTCTGTTCTGAGCTCTGCATCGCACGCAGCCCCCCTGCGCTGCCGGGGACTGGTGTTCCTCAAGTGCCTCCCCTGTGAGTTGCTTCTGATCTCGACAAGGACAGCTGTAGGCTTAGATGCCAGCACACTGCGTGGAGGTTTGCGAGGGATGTTGTGGGGAAATAATAGGAGAGGTTAAGAAGCCAGATACAAGGAAATTGCCATTTCCTCTAATAGAAATACAGTTCTTCAGTTTAAACTGGAGAACTACAGGTTGTCGCTAATTCATTACCCTCAGAGAGAAAACAAGTTTCCAAATTGTGTATAGTACAGCGC